CATTATATTCTTGAGAAAACATTTATCTTGAAAATTTGAAAATGGCCTTTAACTTTAGTGAGTTGAGAAAGAAGTTGTTCAATGAAGAAGGTAAAAGCAATCAGGTGAAAGTCTTGTCATCGGAAATCCTAGGATGATGGTTCAAAAAAAGATTCCATGGGCTTGAATAGGGCCCAATGGGGGCAATTCCTTGGAAAGCCCAAGGTTGAGCCCCGCCCAACCAAACCATGTACATAATGTCTATTGAAAAGTAATAAAAGTATTTTCATATTAACTTTTAATATTTGGAAAGAAAGTTAAAATTAAATTGAATTTTATTTATTAGTAAAATAATGTCTTGGGTCAGGCCCATCCAGGGTCACCCAAAAAATTTAAAGTCCAAGCCCAACCTGAAGTGCATGAGTCTACAACCTGGGTGAATACTCTGGTCCTCGGACACCTATAGGTTCGAGTAAGAGGTCATTGCAGGTCTCTGAAGAAATTTTCCTCTTCAGTTATACGGAGTTTGAGACGTAAAGAGTGATGTAATGGAGATTGTGAATTATAGGAATAAGCCAAGTAAAAACTTTATTCAGAGAAATGGACATTATAAAAAAAAATTCATATAGTTTGCCATATTAAAAAGAACGATAGATTACTAGTCATGTATTAATTTTGAATTACTTGAAATTATGTGTTTTATTGAAAAATTTTATTTCTATAAATTCTAAATTTCCACTTAAAGTTAGCACAAAATTCTCAATTTAAGTATTAGCAAAATTCTCAATTAAGATTCATGTGAGTTTTGAAGAGCGTTAGGCTTGTAACACTTAAGCTCACCATTATTAATATAGATACTACTGATTTTAGACTCCAAACATCAAATGCTCGAATCGGAGTTTTTAGGATAATGATACACTTGCTAAGTGTATCGATACAACTCTTCAAAAATAAGGGAATTTATTGATATAGAATCCTTTATTGATATATTGATAGTGGAGTAAATATTTTACTAAAAGAAATCCAAGGAAAATGATTGAAGCGCCTTATAAATCAACTTCAAATCATTGTATTTGATCTCTCGCTCACTGGTTTTCTATCTTGATTGAAGTTTATTGTGAGCTTCTTCATATATTTTCATCATATTTTCTTCACATATTTCAGTAATTTGGAGACAATCCAATTCATCCCTTTCTTGTTTTTTTTTTTATCTACACTTTAGCAAGCAATATGCAGTTCATGGAGTTAATTGGTGTATGGATTATCCCAATAAAAGTCATTAAAAGGAATTAGGTGAACTTTTAGAAACATGTGGGTATTGCAAATTTGTATTTGATTTAGGATCAAAACAGTTGTTTTGATAGAGTCATGGGTTTTATGGATTCTAATTTTGTGTGAGACTTGTTAAGTTGAGATATTTAATCACTTATAGCCTAGTTCCTCCAAGAGAAATTTCTAGTTGGAAGGCTCTATGGTTTACATTGCCTTATCTACTACAGAATGAAAATACATAAAATTATCGAAGATGAAAGACCTATGGTCAAAAGGGCTAGTTGATCATCTTAGCTTACTATAGGATTCAATTGTTGTGTTTTCTAACAGCTAAATATCATTCACGTAATTAGGAATTAAATATTTTCTGAGCAGCCTATGCACAAATTAGAATGGCAAACTTTGCTTGTTTGAAATCATGTGTATCAATGAGATATAGTTGTCATGAAGGTTCCTACTATCAAGGATCTTGCAAAAGTGCTTGTTGACCAAGCCTATCCCTGCTCGCAAATTCAAGCATTGTTTGGTATTTGTATTAAGCAGTTAAATCCTTTGATTCTATCTACAAAGAAGAATTTGGTGTTTAAGTTGTTTGTTATGGCGAGCTTGGAGGAATTTCAAGTTGTTAAAAGAAAAATCTTATATTGTGGGTTGAACTGCCCTTTCAAATTTGATTTAGGAAGGTGTTCCTTTAACTTGAGCACGAACAACTTACCACTAAGATACTAATGCTGAGATTTTTTGGACATATTATGACATAAGGGGTCTTCCTACAAGCCTTTTAGGGTGTAGAAACACGGTAGATAGACTATTAAGTGTGATGGTTAGGATTTGGTGAGGATGAGTGCTAAAATTGTTCTCAACTCCATTTATAGAGGGATCTCTTATCATCTCTTCATGAAAGCTTGTGGTTAGCTCTTGAACTACAAAAAATCTATATCTTCCTTATTGTGTGATTAATTTCATTCTGTCAATTGATTTGCTTTATATTAATTACCTTGAGGTCTAATGTAATAAAATGCTTCAAAAAAAGTTCAGAAAAGTTACCATGATCCATCAGGTAGTTGTATACTCTCAATGAAGTTGATTGCTTTTGCAATACAAGCTTCTATTTCTTTCTTTTTATAACTTGGATGCAGCTTCAGAAATAATTGAAGGCTTTGAATTGCTGCTGAAGTGCATTCCACATACCTGTATAATCAAATTTTGAGTGATTAAAGCATAATAGACGTGCATGATATATGCTTGAAATATATTAAAATTATGTGGTGTCAGTAATAGCAGAACAATCAGTTATGGCTCATAGTGTCCCCAGCCAAAATGAAAAAATAGCAAAAAAACGTAGAGGAAGTATTTGTCGATCTTACTGATAGTCAATGATGATATCTCGAAACAATTCAGCTGGATTGAACATCTGTAATATATGTGAAAAACAGTTAAAGCTCAAATAAAATTGTCTCTTGTTTCTTTACAATGTAAATGGATGAGCAATTATTCTTACTTCCAACCATGCGTAAGATCTCGTGAGCTCATATGATGCAAAACCACCACTGTTGTTCTGTAATTTAAGAACAAGCAATATGCCAAATATTGCAGTTAGGAAGGATTATTGCTAAATATATTGGCAAAGAAGTTTAAAAACACCATAAAATGCGCTTATATGTTTGTTATGTGTCCATTTAATTATAAATGAGGGACTTAATATTGAATTGTTAAGCTAATATAATTACTTAAATGGACATATGTAAAACATATAATCCTACTTCTGAAGTTTTAAACTCCATCGTCAGTATATAAGATATCATCCATCTTGTTAAGGATATGATTGAATATTACTGTAATTTTTATGTGCTTTAGAGATTTTTTAAAATATGCCTTGAGTTTAGCGAGAAATTCAAAGCCTCATTTATTTCAATAAGCATTTAAATTATAAAGTGTTGACTTACATTTGTACTTGGGCTAATAAGTCATTGTATATGATCTTTTGTAAGTATTAATTTAATCTTACTAATACAGGGTAAAATACCCTCACTTCTTAAGTTTTAATTGAAATTCTAAGCGGGTCCATTAGTTTTTACAATAGATACTTTACCCTAAAAAAAAATCTTTCGATAAAGATATAGGTTTAGCTGTTAGTCCACCGTTAGTGTTTCGTTAGTTTGATGACATGATACTATTACAAAGATAATTTTATCCTTTATTAATTTTAAAAATTATTATTATATAATTTTTTTTGCAAAAAAAAAATATTCAAGGGAGCACAATCCAGTGCTCCCTAAGAGAGGGGAGCACCAATCGGTGCCCTCCAAGGGAGGGAGCATTGGATCTGGTGCTCCCCATATCTCTTGGTGCTCTCTAAATTTGTTTTTAAAAAAATTATAAAATAATTTTTAAAATTAATAAAGAAGAAAGGACATTTTAATCTTTTAATTTTTTTGTTAACGGTATTTATATTATCTATTTCTTAAACTAATGATCCTGCGTGGAATTATGATCAAAAGTTAGGGAAGTGAGAGTATTTTATCCTAATATATATGAAGGGAACATTTACTCATGGTGGTAACGGCTTGGTTGTTGTATTCACAACTGGTATCCAAAAGGGTCGTCTTTTTATCCATTGCATATTTCATGTTGACTTTTTCAGCCAGTAAAGTAGGTTGAAAGATCACCAGTAGTATCTCTTAATCTTAGAAATATGCTTATGTCTTGGTCTAACAAGAAATAAAATTCTGTTAGACTTTTCACTCTTATAAATGAATACATAGTTGCAAGTAGTCGTGCTCAAACTAACTACAAGAGGCAATAATTGCATGACTTTTGTATGTTAATGCATCAAGTTTCTATCTTTTGTGCCAATAAATGTACCTTTACCATCATCAAGAATTATGTTTAGCATTCACACACTCAACATATAAACATAAGATATTAATCTACTAGACACATGTGCACTAAACATTTAATTGACTATTTAGGTTTGACCAGAAGAGTAAAAATGGGTTATTTCTATTATATTTTCTTTTTTGGCTTTTTGTTAGCTTTAAAAGGGTAAAGACTTCTTACTACATACTTGGTGCAGGTTAAAAATCTAATGCTAAACCTTAAGCATTTCATTTTTTTGTCATTATTACTATGATATTATTGAGGGGATAATGTCATATTTGATCCTTGAAGTATAGAAAATTCTCTAATTTAATACTTGAATTAAAAATGTGTGCAAGTGATACTTGAACTTTTATTTTGTATATTAACGTGCCCAAATGTCTAAACATTGTTAACCAAGTGCAATGACATGTCAACAGCCAATCAAAACGCACCATTTGGCTAAAAATGCCATGTCAAATATGAAATTATCCTATTATTAAATAATTATTCTTTATACATATTGGTTGGGCTAGGCTTCAATATTTTAGCCCAAGCTTGCTCAATGGTCCTATAATATTCTCCAAGCCCCTTGGACAGCTTGAACTTATCCTGTAAGAATATTTTTTGGTCATGATTGTCTACTAATTAACTCTTGATTTGTCTCTCTTAAAGAATATTTATTGACTTCCAACAATTATTTCAACAACTTTCTTCTTTGATTCTAGAGCACATTTGCCTCTCTTTTGTCTTATCTGAACCAAATTCTGACCATTTCAAATAACTTGTCAAACATTGAGTCTCTACTCCAGTAGTCATGCATTCTTGACTTATCTTTTTGTGTTTTGCCCTTGCTATGTTGCATGTCTCAGCGACACTCTAGTTTACTAAAGATCCCTTCCAATGCCACTTTTCCAACTTTTTTCATTGCATTACTGTTGCTCTAAATTTGTACATGCGCTAGTTTCTTTCTATTTCTTGATTCTTGATGGTCATGTCAATGCTTATAACCCTGAACCTTACTGGAGAACTGCTGCTTCAGTACCCTTGTTATGCATCTTTGCCACCTCAAACCTGTCATTATGGACCAACCTACCACAATAGCAACATATCGTAGATGTAAACCTTTCATATTGAAGTATATCCACATGTCTTCATCTCTTTCCAGTTCCGTGGTAAGATGCATACATAGCTTGTTCATTAGTTTTGCAATGTCTACCATCATCCTTACGTACATGTGTTATAATAGATTCTAGAATGCCTATCTCAGCTAGTGTTATCCAACACCATCCTTCCTACTTATTTATTTTAAACAATTATTGAAGGTAAACTGGAGTTGAACAAGCAATATGGTTGAAGGAAATTTCAATCTACCTTTTAGAGTTTTTAGCATTAGAATATGACCTTCCAAATTTCATCACCTGCCTCCAATATGGTCCTCTAGATTTCCTTCTTTGATCAAAACTAGAAAAAGAAAAGATTATCTCCTACATCATATACATTCATCGCACTCTTGAGTGATTTCATGATATAAACCTTCTGCGTACTTCTTTGAGTAATTGTCTAACTAGACAAGATGTATCCCACAATCTAATAAAGACAATTGCTAGATTTGAATCATTGCTCCATCTTATATCTTATTTTTTAATGATAAACAAGAGAGACTAGAAATTAAACCACAAAGGTGTTCTTGTGTGAACTTAACGATTAGTGATCTTGGTTTAGGATTTTTAACCATGTCTTATTTTGCATGAAGATCATGGGTACATTGTTTTACTCCTTTTGTAAGTTAGATACTGTCTTGTTTGCGTACTTTTAGTTGTCTCATATTAATGTCTTGTTTAAAAGGTCAAAGAAAAATATTCTTAATTTCCCTTATTACCCTTAATTATAACCACTCACTTTCTTCTTTTTTTCAAGTTAAGGGTAATATTCTAAAGAAAATTTGATATTAATGAAAGTCAAAATTCAACTTAAAATTTCTTAAACTTTGTGTAAAGTCAAAACCAAACTATACATACGGGACAGAGAGAGTAATAGTCATGAGGTATAACCAATGCATGAGTGTAACCCCAAATTAGTAAACTAAGTAAATTAGATATTACCTGTAAAGACAAAATAACATTAACAGCATCATATAATTGATCTGGTGTAATCTTTACGTCCACAACATCAGATGGCATTCTTGATAACAAGAGTGCTGCCTACAACCAATCAAAAATTGTTAGCCCAAATTGTCCAACAGAAACCATACTTCTTTGAACCATCATGTGAAGAAAATCTTTAAGGAATAGGGGCAAAGGTACCTTTAAACCTTCCGATGTGCAATCTGATACAATCCAGCCATTATCAGGTGTTGAGAAAGGCCATCCCCCCTTTGAAATGTGGCGATACCAAGAATTAAGGTTGTTGCCACTCTTTTCTTTGACCTGAATTGAAATAACATTGAATTTGAAGAATTATTCATACACTTATAATCTAAATTATAGTGCTACTAAAAAATGTGTAATGTAGCTTGATGGTTGAGAAATGAAACAACTTATACTAAAAACATTTTAAATGTTGCTAATTCATACTTGTGTGTTTTTGATGAAGTTGTGAGCTTTCTTAAGCATCGGACCATATTCCTCGACAAGGTTGGTTGCCAAGATTGCTTGAACAGAAAAAGCAACATCCCATAGTTGAGATCCGTTGTATCCCTGTGATAGGTACATACTTGTTAATCTATATCAACATATATGTTTATAATCTTCCAATTTTGACCAAGTAAAACTTCTGTTAGTGTGGTAGGTGAAATGCTGATTCAATCTCTACAGGAGAAGAAAGCTGCATTGTAACTGAATACCTGCATTTTCATGCCATCTTCAGCAACCCAGAGGTAATCTTTAATTCTTGAAAGGTGACACTTGTATGCCTTTGAGTTTGGGTCCTCTACCCAACAACATACCATGTTTAGTACCTGATCAATAAAATATACATCACTTATTTTGTTTTAGTAAAGGGCTTATTAGATTTACTAAGTAGAGAAAAGGTAGGGTTTCCCATGTTGCCCAAGCTAAAATCCAATTCAATATAACCTAGGCATGTAAAGGCCACCTGGCCTACAGTTCGAGCATAAGAAGGACCCATTTTGAAAATAATAAGAATAATAAGAAAGGAAACTGAAAACTCGGATAAATTGAGATTAAGTTTATTCGAAACAAGTAGCTACCTTATTGACAGGGCCAAGGCAAATATAACAAGTATTTTCATCCTCGTAGTGGATGTGTTGTATCACAATGTCAAGAGCCTTTTGTCTTAGCTTAGAGAAGGGCCATTTCATGAGAAAAGGTTCTCCAACCTTTTGAAGACAGCTCCATAATATGTTTTGTATCATGGGATGTGGATAGTATAGGTCTTCCTGCAAAATCATTTGTCAAAAGACCAATTTTAATAGTCTAAGTAAAAAAAAAAAAAGTTTAGGGCATGCACTTTAACATGATGAATTACTATTAGCTTTGAATAAAGGGGGGATACCTTAGTTCTTAGCTAATGATGTATTAGAATATTTACTATATGATATATGGAAATCTTTTTCTACATATCTATTTGCATGCACAGAAGGACCCTAATAGACCATGTATTTACATTTCAAAAGTTTGTATTGGCTTTGACAAAATTAAGATTTTTATGTCGGACTGCAACAAACAAAAAAAAAACAAACGGAATATGATAAATGGTTTCAACACTCAATGTATAATGTATACTATAAGCTAACATAAAAATTGGCATTTGAAGTAATTTGGAGAAATTTATTTAGGGTTTCATGGTTGTTTGTCCTAAAACTTAGAAGCTAATTTCCTAAAGTAGGATCAAGCAGTCACAAAATTTTACATAAGTGTAGATATGAATTTTCCTAAGCTTATTTCTGTTTAGCAATTGCATTTAGTTAAGAAAAATTGAAAGAAACCATTTATATCATTAACTAACAGTTGTCATGTGGCCAAAACTCAGACATGCTTTGTGTCAATGTGGCAAAAAATGACGTGACAACTTGGTTTTTAATTTCCTTTCCACCTCTCGAGTGAGGGAATTTGATGCCAGCAATGGCACCGATCAGCATGTCGGGGGCAATGAGATTTGATCATGTCAATTCGACTATTGGTCAAGCTCATGGAGGCTAAATTAGCCTTGCTAGGCATGCTCTAACATAAGCAAATTTGATAATCAATAGCTCAGGTTGAATCAAGCCTTGCTGCGCCAAAAGTGAAATCACTAATACAAGGTCAAGTTCACTATTTGTTAGAGGTCTTCTAGATTCGGTTTTAGAATGACCTCTTCTTTGGCATTTAAGTTTGCATCTACATGTGAAGCAACAGGAATGCTAAGTTGACTCTTGATTATTATTGGAGATGAATGTTCTATTTTGTGTCTTAATCTTCGAATGATTGAAATTATATATTCTTGATGCTAGAAACTATCAATCTTTGTACTTCTAACTAAAATACATTGCATATTCGATTTGTTGAACTACACCTAAATTGTTTGCTACACTCTAATTTCATGGTTGGTTATAAAAGCAAATGTGATTGAATTCATTAAAGGGTGTGTTGATCAGTTATGCTTTCATTGCCCTATTTAAAACATGTTAGCCTTTTCTCCATATAACTCTATGATAATATGCTAAACACATGGATGAGCGTGTGTGCTAAGTTGGCTGTTTAATCATTTGCAAAGATAAGCAGTTTGTAAATTGAATCTTGAGCTCCATGTTATATCTTCCTCTTTGGCCATCTGAGAGGGATCTAGACAGTCTTGCTTGTCTATTTAATTAGGTTTTGCCTTTTTAACTAAGGCTATGTTGTATTGTATCTTGGGCAATCTAGAGAGCTTGGAAGAAAGAGGGTGAACTCCTTTTAATATAAAAAATCTTCATGTGACCTTGAAGGGCTAGCAATAGGATTATATAAAGGATTAGATCATATGACACCATGAGAAGTAATCAAGGTAACTATCTATTTTATTTTTAATTGGTTGGGTTAAATTTGTGATGCCAAGAAGATCTTGGTGATATTCTTTTTGTACTCAAGTCCAAGGTTGGGTAATTTTGCTTAATATGAGAAATTATCTTCATAATACTAATTTTATTTATTTAAGATTGTTTTAGCTTAAGGATGTCTTGTAGGTTGTCTTTGTTGTTTTGAGATGGCTCTATTCAATACATGATATGTTTTCTTGAATTAGGGTACTTATGGCCAAAAGATGTTTGTCAAACTGCCTATTTGAAGGTCATCATATTGTGGGGGTTTATTTATTTGTAAGGCAGGTCATGCAATATGTAACATCCCATCCTTGGGATGTTAATTAATGGAGATATTTTGTCAATTAAAGATGAATTATGGTTATGGATAATATGAAGTGATATGGGAAATAAAATAATATTATTTTATTTATGACAAGTGACTAAGACGATGTCATATCAAAAGTCGATTTCAAAGAGCTAGGTTTGGCTAAAGTGGGAAAGCATAGGAAAATTTGAAGGAAATGGAGCCTTGGTGGGGCTTACGTGCCATTATAAAAATAATAAAGTATATATATATATTTAAATACTATTGTGATACGTTGGTGGTACGTAAAATGGATATTTTGTTGTGCATGAGAAAAGGAAGAATGATAGAAGATAAATGAAGTAAAAAAAATGGTTGAAGGACTTAATGAAAAGAAATATGATGTTAGAGGGTGAAATTGTAAATAATAAAAAATTGAGTGTTGAATTGTAATTAGCAAAAGTTGAAGGTTCAAATTGTAATTAACAAAAGGTTAAGAGACTAGATTGTAAAGGATGAAAGATTTAAAGGGTTAAATGATAAATAAGGAAGAATAGGAAGACCAATGTACAATTAGATTATTTTTAAGATAAGTGAATATTGAAATAGGTACCTTTGGATTTTGAAAGGTAAAGTGGAGGAGAGGTGGCTGGTCATGTATGTTCAGAAACTATAAGAAAGGTGAGTTAGTGGGAGACATATGGGTTCTTTAACATGTGAAGAATAAGAAGCAAGAAAAGAAGCATTCATATGCATGAAAATGGTGGCAGGTCATATTAAGTAAAAAGGGGAAGAAAACAATGGTTTTGGTAAAAATAGTACGTGGTTTTAAGGGAAAAAGGATGATATGAATGTGATATGTGAATTAGTCGAAGACAAAAAAGGAGGAAGAAAAGTTGGTGCATGAAAGTGTATGGGTGGAAATGAAAATGGGCCTTGTCATTAATTAAAAAGGAATCACATGCAAAAGGTTTATTGGGTAGTTGGCCACATGAACTAAAAGCATGTGAGAATGAAATATCAAGAAGGTGAGAGATAAGGGAGAGACAAAAGCTAATGCATGAAAGAGTATTAGTAGTAAATGGTGGTACACGTCACTATAAAATGAAAATTATTTAAGGTAACAATTGATAAGGCATGCATGGTGGATCAAAAAGAAATCAAGGATGCCAATAAGAATGTGGCAATCAAACACATGGAGAACAAGGGGGATTGTATGAAGATAAAGATAGAAAGAAAAAGAAAACAATTGAGGAAATAGGAGCTTGAAGCTTAGGGGTTTCCGCCATTCCTTATTGCACTAGAAGGTCACGATTATGAAGTTCTTTGGCCACTCGTGAGCTTTGGCATGAAACCTCTCCAAGTTTTTCATTCCCTTCACCATTTTAGAAGACCTTAAAGCTCCCTTGACACCCTAAATGAGCTCATTTTCTCTCCAATATCCAAGCAACTTGAGAGCTTTGGTTATGTTCTCTCAAAAGATGTTTTAGTGAAATGTAAAGAAAGCATGGTGAAGGCATACAAGCGCAAAACTTGTGTCTACTTATCAAGCTTTTGAAGGAATTAAGCTTCTGAGATAAAGGCTGAAGCTTGGTAGTTCAAATATATGGTAAGGGCTTTTTATTTAAGCTTCAAGATTAATGATTCAAGGGATTCATGGTCTTGCACCTATGTGGCAGATTTGAAACTGTTAAAGAAGCACGTTGAAAGTTAAAAGTTTGGGGGTCAAACATCCATAAAGTAAGGGGTAATTGAGAATTACAAGGCGAATGGTTAAGTGACAGGTTGAACGTGAAGGTTTACTAATTTGTACTTACAATGTTGCTTATATACATGTGTTTGTACAAGGAATTCAAAAAATGAAAGGAGATTATATTGAGGACTTTAACAACTTGAAGCTTGAGCATTAGAGGAGGTGAGGAAACCAAGACCAATAAGGTAAAATCTATGGTTGAATTGAGACTAAAAGTGTTCATCATGTGCTGGCCAAATGCATCAAGCACTATGACATTGAAATTATGATAATTGATTGTGATATGTATATTACTAGGAAGGTACCAACCTGGGACTTAATTCAATATCACCTAAGTTGGCAAAAAAAAAATGATATTAACTAGGGTGAGTCAGGTTGAATTCAGTTTAATCTTTAACACTAATATCTTGTTACCCGTGCACCTAAATGCTTAGTCTTAGAGAATCATTAATGAGTGTATGAAATGGTTGTTAGGTGCTGTTGAATTAAGCACGTTTGTGTCGAATAAAAGCTGTGGGATTATTTGACCAAGTGTGGAGCCTTCAAAGACTTGAGTGGGGAAGGTATATTGAAGTTGTTAAATCCTTGGTTAAGTTAAGTGATGTAGGCACATTTAGAATTATATTTTATTTAGTGTTTTAATTGGTTTAGGATTTTATTTTCTTTATTTTATTTAATTTAGGATTTTTTTGAATTAGGATTTTGATACTTTAAGTTTTTATTTAGGATTAGGATTACTATTTGATTAAGACTTATCTTAGCTAGTATAAATAGGTTATCTTAGATAAAGAATTATTATTATTATTATTTCGTTTGTTATGAATTTTTATTCAAGAGGTGTTTTTTAGAATCCAATTATCTTTTTATTGTTCCAAATACAATCAAACACATTCAAGCCTAATTATTGAATTTTAATTTACCTAAACCTTCTTATTACATTAAGTGGTATTAGAGCAAACGATTCTGTTATCCTACAATGATTTTTAGCTAAGAGACTATGGTTAGTCGAGGCAAAAATCGAGGTAGAGGCAATTAGTCCCAACAAACTGAATTGGTTGAGATGTAGAGAATGATTGATGACTTGATCCGGACTGTGCAAGCCTTACAATATTAAGAACTAGTGGGATCTCGAATGGAGAATCTGACCACAGCCCTCTTGAGATTGAAGATTTTGACAATGATAATGAATTTGAGAATGCAAACTCTTTTCATGAAAATGGACCTGTGAATCAAGTAGCAAGATGTAAGGCCGATTACTACACGCCCTTGATTTAAATGGTGGAGGAGTTAAGATTGAAGTAGCCAACTTTCATGGAAAGGTACATGTAGAAGATTATTTGG